CACCTGTATACTCTTCATAATATGAGTGTCGATAGCTTACAGAGCTATATTTGTAACAATGTAAAGTGCCCTACAAAAGTTAAAGAAAGAACATACGAACGACATGTTTTACTCGCAGTTGGAAATAGAGAGTAAAACATACAATGTTGCTCGACACCTAAAGTTATTTTTAATTCATTTGGGATTCGAACTTTCAGTTATTTGATCGTTAACCTACTTTCGACCCATTTACTCTCTTAGTACTAAAAATAGACAGTCAGTCAGACAGGCTATCTATTTATCAAAATCAAGCTGCATCTAGCAAAAATTTGATTTAAAATTATAAATTTGATTTGTTTATGAAGTACAAATACAGTGTAGTTAATCCGGGAGACTGATGCGTCTGCTCAACTATGCTGCAACTTAACTGTAAATGACGGGAACCAGCCACAGCGCTGTCCGCAGACGAGGAGGATTGATATCTTACTTATTTTACACTTCATAACATGTCCGTTATATTTTTAGAATAACCAGACTGCGTACGGTTACGAAGTTCTTCTTGTTTCCCAGACATGTTTTGCACATCAATCAAAATTATGTTGAAAAAATTTCCAAACTGCTTCTTCTTAAGAAAAATCTTGAGATCATAAATCAATTCAGTAGCCTCAATTTCTTGATAAGGTTGAGCTTAATTTTTTTAATAATATCCGATGAGAATCTGTAGTATTGTTAAGAATTTATTAGTCTGACATAAATGGACTATCCCAGATGATCGGGCAGTTCAGTGACTGCGGAGACGGGCGGAGGGGGGAGTCAGACTGGTCGCAAACCGGTGCCCGCCTCGCCAGGCTCCCAGCTAAATACGGCAACCTCCGCCAACCCTATCCGCAACGCAAATAACTCAGGTGACATACGAGTACTGTCTGCGAATTTCATCGCTAAATTATTGCTGGTATAAATACGTACATTCAAGTACCTACAGCTGTATTCGTCAAACAATGGAAGATGTCCACATATTTGCATTTATTTTCTGGTTTTTTATTTCAGAAAAACCTTATCCGTTTTTTATTCTTAAATACTAGGATTTATCTTTCATGATATTAAAGTTTACCAAAATGAGCCTTATGCTATCTCATTCACCTAAAACTGTTGCAGTCAGCGGCTTACACTAAAAGCCCTTGTGGACTTCTACCACTCAAGACTTATAATTTTATATAAAGAACATATATCAAGAACATTGGAACTGCTGAAATACAATCTTCATGAGTTCAAGCTGTGTTTTTTTTTTGTTACACAATTTTTAATAAATAAGGTGCAGGTAACCTTACCTCTAATGCAATTGTTCATTTACTAAAACATTTTAAAAGATAGGATAGAACCAAACAGTAGAATACTGAAGTTCATTCATTAAGTTTGTAAATTATTTGAAATAACAATGGTGTTCTTGAAACCAAAAATAATGCATAAAATACCTTTAACAATGTAAATATTATATTGCTTATGTTTTAAAATGCATATTTATGATAGTGTAGTGTCAAGGTTATGGTTATCATTTAACCTTCAACGATAACTGAAAATACCTAATAAATATATTGAACAATAGGCCATTTACTCATATTATATAATTATCTATTTTTTCACTTCACGTTTTTCATATAAAACTAACAGGAATATGCGAAATTAATTTTATTAGATTAAATAATTAAACAGTAAACCGAAAGTTATAAATAACTATCACTTTGTATTATGTTATAGTGTAATTAAACTTACACTATAAATTGAAATTAACAGTTGGTTATAAAATATTGACATTAACTTACCTTTAACGACATTTTGCCTTTATAATCGATTTTCTTCTTACAGCACGTGGACGTAAACAAACATGATTCGATCAAATATTATTTTGCACTGCAAAATAACTGACTGAAATATTATTGCTTATCTGTGTGATGTAAAAAACAACATTACGTAACTGCACATCTAATGCACTTTGTATACGACGGCACTTTTAACTCATATGAATCAAATATTCGATCTTTCGTATTCAGATTTGCATGCGACACACCATACACACACTTCGCTCGGCTACTATCTTGCTTCTATTAAATTTTTCCCTCGCTTCGGAGATCGCCTTGCTGATTTGACATTCGGATTCGGAAGTTACCACAATGTTGCCATATGAACTAACGCTTAAAAAAAATTTTGTCATTGAATTATTATCATTATAGAATTTATTTCTATATTGAATAATATTTGCCCTAACTTTAAATAAAATAATATTAAAAATGTTGGATTATATTTAATAACATTTAAATTTATTCAGTGAGTAAAAGTGCCATCTAGCGTATGTAATATTAATTAAAACGCCTGTTGATTGTAAATCTGTAGTAAAGATGGTAGTATTACAAAAATAACTTGTTCATTACTGAAAATTCGAAAAAAGTTGGTACTATTTTTTTCTTTTACACATCTATTTGTATTCTAAATCAAATAATCCCTTACGTAAAATACAATAATATGTTGGATTTCAAAATAAAATGTGAAAATTCTTCAGTAAGTAAAAGTGTCATCTAGCGTATATAATATTAATTAACACACCATTAGACCTTAGGTCATCCTTCAGTTGATTTTTAATTTAGAGTGTAGATGGCAGTATTACAAAAAATTGTTTTTCAGTAAAAATTCCAGTAAGTAATACTTTAGACATCTTTAAGTATCTCACTCTTTCACTCAAAAAAATAAGGCTAATTTAAAAAATGTCATTGTGTGATCTTTAGCGTTTATTATAATATTGTTAATTAAATTTCAATGAAATTACGATCAAATGTGTCAAATTAATTTTCGCTGTCTTCGTGTCCCGAAGTTTTCATCAAATGTGTCTTGACAGCTTGGAGTGCAGTTTTCACCTCATACTTTTGAGGATGTATGGACACGTAATGCGTTCGGAGCTCCGCCGCCATATTCGTTTGGTATTTGCAATGAGGACATTCGTACATATACAGTCCCTCATGACGGCCGCTGCGGAGGACGTGTTTGCGAAGGTTTTCCTGTGAGGATTAAAGGACACTCAGACTTTGTAATGAAAATTAGTAGCATTAGAACCATGCAAATATGAGCGGACAGCTCTCTCGACTGCCGGCGCGCTGTTCCAGCAGTGGCAACACTAACCAGACTGGCGCAGACGAAGTCGCAGTGTGGGCAGGCGTAGGGCTTGTGGCCGGCGTGGCAGCGCGCGTGACGCCGCATGTGGCTCGCCTGGTCGCTGCTGAAGGGGCACAGCGCGCACGAGTGTGTCCTGATGATCTCGCCGTGAGATCGGCGATGACTGAGAACCATTCCATCAATGTTACATATAGTACTACTTTTTGCTGTTCCTCTGTTCGAGCGAGGTGGTAAAATTTGACACAGAAAACTTTTTCCTAGAGATTCTTTACAAGTTTTCAGAGCTACATAGCAATTATGCCTTCAATCATAAATACGCCATCTAGTGGTCATAAAAAAACAACATACCGTATAAGCTGTGCCGCTGTGGTGGCCACGTATCCGCACTGCTCGTGCGGGCAGCGTCTCTCACTTGCAGTCACGGCGCTGGAATTCTCCATTCTTAAAAAAAAAACTTCAACATAGAATAATAATGCTACAATCTTTGCCAATAAAGCTTTAATGAGCTAAAGTGCATGTAGCATCACGTTGTCACGTTGGAATCTATCCTTTATGAACCTATAATGACAAGCAAATTCATGTTAAATATTGTATATGACTACATATAAATTATTATTTAATTTAACTACGAAATAGTTTAGCGTAAAGTAAAGAACAAATGATTTCATCTGTCAATTGGGAAATTAAAATAGCTAACTGGCGACACCGGTAAGCTAGTGACACTTGGAGCATCCGCTCGTCGGCGAAAATGACAACGGCACGGAGCGCGTTAGAGTTTCAACTGCATTAATGCAAGTCGGCGTCGCAATAATGCATAAGATATTGCACAAGTTGGATCATCAGCGGCATTAGACGCCCTCAATGGCTTTACAATGTTCTGGATACGATGAAAGTTCTGGTAATGGCCGCCGCCACTTGATTCATGCGGTTGGTGGCTAGAATTAGATCCCGCGCGACGGTTATCATTTTGATTGTCTATTTTAATCGTGTCGTTAACGAGTTCTCTTCTAACTAACTGTTTAATTATAAGACCAGTAGTACCACCATTCATGTTAAAACTCTGTGATAATATTAGTAATTTTATAAAAATTACCGACAACATTGAAGTTTCCAAGTCATTGTCAGATTTTTAACTTAATAATGGCGTTATGTTATAACAAATGAAAGATTTTTCTACAATACAAGAAAATAAAGGTATAAGCCATGAGAGGTAACTAATTTAAAGTCCTCTCCATAGCTGGTTATCTTTGATCTTTTCTTATTATGTGCAAATTTGTATAGCGACGGTTTGAGGTAATTTGAACAGGGAGAGTGTCACGAGATAAATGCATATTTTAACTGCAATAATCCTGCATACAAATATAAATATTTCACTGCGGTGTCCAATAAATAACTATGTGCCTGAATTACCCTGTACATAAGAGTCACGGCTCACGGCTCGCGGACAATAAACAACCACCAATTTGGCAACGTCAAATCACATCAACCAGTAAACTGCACGGTACGTCCAACACGTGCGTACAATAAAATTTAAATGTCGCCATCTCTTTCGGACGCACTAATATTTTGATCCGACGCTCGAAATACGAGGCATCCGGCAGAGAGTTTATTACAGTTTGGTATAAAAACATCAGCGCTGGCAACACTGAGCCGGCGGGGAAATGTCGCGCCGGCGCACTATCAAAGCGCGCGTCAAATTATGAATGTTTCCCGATGTTTGTGAGGAGTTGTGTGACAGCAGACACGCAAGCATCCGCTGCACTTGTCGCTTGCCTCTTTGCGACATGCAGACGGTTATTTTCGTGAAGGAGAGCGACACGATGCATTGATTCAACTTTAATTTGGAAGAGAATTGATGGAATGATGGCCGCCGTGTGAAAACTCTAATAACTATGACTCACGACATATTTGTCATACTCGAGATGGGATGCATCTTTTGCTATTTGGTAGTATCTCCTCCCCTAAGTAAGTATTATAATAAGGTTTAGATATTAGATGATATTAGAAAAGTTAAAAAAATAGTTTGAAAATATTTTATACCGTTATTAAAATTGCAAAATGTATTCCGTGTACAAACAATAGTTCATTTTTCCGTCAGCGCACTGCATTAATTATTCGGTCGCGTGTGTAAACTTTATTGGATTGAATGCGGCCGATAAATTGTCTTGTGACGCAAACTATCAGCGATTTCATTATTTACTTTTAAAGTACAACCTGGCCGACGAACTCGATCGATATTTGTACGATAGTAATGTATTATTGTTAGAACTTTGATTGATTGCTTAATGTGTGCGACTTTTTTCCTAACAAGCTACATACTCGTACATCATTTTAAGTTGTAGACAAAATCAAACAGACATACTTGGTTGAAGTTTTCTTCTTAGACTGATCGCTTTGTACTGTGGCGCTAGCATTGTTAACAAGCTCTGGCGCCTTCGAGGTAGTCTTACAGCCGTGCTCATGCTTCCAGTGGTTAGTGAGGCTGCTCTGTCGTGTGAAGTTGGCCCCGCACACGTCGCAAGCGAATGGTCTCTCAAACGTATGCCGCTTCAAATGATCGCGGAGAGATGACTTGCTGAATGTTTTAGGGCAAAGCGGGCAATCGTATTTGTCTACAACTTTCTCTCCGTCTCCTTTAACGATCTTCGTGATAGAAGGCGAGTGTAGGACCTCGTGGAAGAAGCACTCGGCCTGAGAGTCGGTGGTGAATGCGCACTGGCTGCAGTTCCACACTACTGAGGCGGTCGAGTGGCCGCCGCTCTGGTACACACAGGCTTTAGATCTGATGTGCCGAGTCACTTCTTGGAACAAGGTGAACGACATCCCACATCTCGAACACCTGCAAAGGTTGAATGTCATGAATATTTAAATACTTTATTAAATGTCTTAGAAATCAGACACTTACTTTTTCTTCTTGTCGGGATGGATGTTTCTTATGTGTTGCTTTAGTTCGATGATATTCCCGAGGCGCACATCGTCCGCACAATAAGGACATTTCTTGCTTAAATCTTTGACTGGCAATCCCTTCTCTCGTTGAATCTCCTTTCTCCGAACTCTGTGCTCAGAAGTTTGCCGATGTTGTTTAGCTTCGACCGAAGACTTGAATGTTACGGAGCACACGAGACAAAAGTACGCTCTCTGTTTGTGCTTCGATTTTAAATGAGCCGCCAGCGTGAGAGATGATTTAAACTTGTCCTTACAGAGGTCGCACTTGTGCAGCTCCTGGTAGGTATCGGTGGCCGCGTATGATAGCTCGTGCCCGGTCGCCCGGCTGTGCTGCCTCATTTCCACATTATACCTAAATTCCTTAGAACAAGTGGGGCAAGTAAAGATCGTCTTTTTGCGCAGTATTATAGGCATCGACCTATTGACGACGGCCACCACCTCGCTATGCTCCGGCCCGGATATGTGTCCGGCCATCGTGTCGGATGTTTCGCATTCGAACTTGCAAAAGGAACACCAGTAACGCCCCTCCATCGGCTCGCTGTTCAACTTGTGTTCGTCAGAAAACCAGTGTTGCATAAAATTTGATAGCCAGTTGGTGTAAAACTTGCACGGGCTGCACTGGAATGGTGATTGGTGTACTATGACGTCTATGTTGTCGAGAATTAGTTGTTGGTAGGTGGGACTCTTGGTATCGGTCGCTTTTCTGAAGTGGTAATGAGATATCAAATGCTTTCCCATCAATTGGTATCTAACTCTGGACTTGCAAACTGAACATTGTACAAAGTAAGGCTTCCGCTTTCTTTTCACTCTTTCTATTTTCGGGCTCATTATTATCTTTTGTTTCTTTCTTTGCGATCGTTGAGGCTGTAGGTAGATGGTATCGTTCAAGAACCGCGACGGGCGGGTGGCACGTTTTTCCGCAACGTTTCGTATGGGATCTATGTGACCGGAAAATTCCAATTCATGTTCCGGTAGCACCTTTCTCATGTGCAAGTTGGACATTAGATGTTTTTCGTATATAGCTCTGGAGCCGAGGCGCCTGTTGCAAGGGCCGCACCAGTACTGAACGGATCCCTTGTTCTGTATCGTCGTCTGCATGATCTGCGTCTTCTCCGGTGCCCCGGGCACCCACTTGCCCTTAGTATGCCCGGGCGGCGGCGCGTCGAAGTCGTCGTCGCGCTCGTTGCCCTCTGCGACAGTCAATGGCTTCCATTTGCCGCCAGAATGCTCCTCTCTAAGATCCCAGTCTTCGTTGTCAGGCGATGCCGGACGCCACTTGCCGCCGGTGTAGTGTGGTGGGGGCTTCCATTTGGCCCCATGGGCGCTCTCTTCCTCTTCGTCATCCTCGGATTCTTCACAATCATCAGATTCATCATCTCCTTTAAAATCATTAAAAGCTTCCAAGCTGTATGACGTGGACGGTACCTCCTTCTTAACATTACCACTGATGCTGGCCACGGCGTTAATAAGTTTCGTTTGATTGTCTTCGTTACTCCCTATTCGTAAACTATGTCCACCGATCCAATCGACCCCTCGGAGGTTAGATTCGACGGGACTGATTCTCGGCAAATCTCTAGAAGTCGATGCCACCGTTAAAGTTGTCTTTACGTCTATACTTGCCTTAGAAATGGACGTAGGTGGCGTGAGTCGAGATAGGGTCGTCTTTTTGACACTGCTCTGGAGTTCTAAGGATTGGAAAAAGACGTCGGCACCGAGACTGTACGTGGGTTCTAAAGGGTTGATAGGCAGAACGGATTTTGTTTCCGATTTGCTTTTGCCGCATCGCTGCTTGCGATGTTCAACGTAGTTGTCGAGGCCGACGATAGTGGCGTTACATTTGATGCAGAGATGGTTGTCGTCATCGTCGTCGTCCCGAGGTGACAGCATCTGGAATTGTTAATAAGCTTAAAGTGAGAGTTCTTTCAAATAAAAAATAAGTAAAAGTAACAGAGTACAGAAGTAAAGTAACAGTGATCTCCCAGTGTCACAAAAAGCCTATGACGATGCCAACTACTTATTTAACCATTGCAATGACGTGATTATCGATGTTATGTGCTGATGTCGCCGCGGCCCCGCATCGGCAGACGTTTGCATGCGCCGATCTATCACCCTAGTAGCATTAATTCAATACAACTTGCGGAAGAATGTGATTGTTTTGTCCGCGTTGATATCTAGGTTAAAAATAATGTAAATAGTACCGCAATATGACACAAAATTAAGATAATAAATTATGATGATTGTTCCTGTTTTCTATAGTATTGTGAAACAGGAGAATCAGAGCCGCATAAAAATATATAAGTAGTGTTTTTTTCAAATCCAAGTCAAAATCGTAAATGAATCAACATTTCTTTAGGTTTAGAACTGGTGAGCTTCATGAGAGAAGAAGTAACGTCGCATGTCAATCGCTTTTCTTTTGTCAAACAGTTGACAAATGGCTCGACGCCGCGACGCCAACCTCATAGTTGTCAGTCGTCATTATACTACGCGCAGGCCAGGAAGCGAGGGGTGTAGGGGCGTCGTAGAAACTTCATGAACTCTTTAAATAATTAAATTAAAATTGTTATAAAATTTAACATCGTCTCGTCACTGAAGTATGATAAAACGCAAACTATTGATTATCCTATTTATAAATTATTAAACTTTAATAAATGATACATCAGTTTAGAAGCGTCGTAAAGACAAAAACAAATAGAGCATTAATTTCCTCGTATCATTCTCACATGTCGGCGATCAATCATTATCCATCTTTTATGAGTCGAGTTGCACATGCGATGTCTTGTATTAGTGTCCTAGAATATTCTACCTTTGTGTTTGCCGGTGCTTGTGTGTTGTGTCTGTACAACACAACTTTGTGTAGGTGTTCGTTCAGTGTGTCCGTGTGTACACGTGTCTATGCAAGTGAGCTGTATGTGACGTGTATGTGTGCGTATGAGGACGTCCGTCAGTCACTCGTCCGCGAAGACGCCCGCTGCGGAACCTTCAGGCGATAGTAGGCTTGTTTCCCGTACACCGATTTTGGTTGGGTAATATCACATGGTGAATGTTCCGTTAAATGCGATTTTGTTTTAGCTCCTTTAATAAAGATATATATCATTTTACTTTGCTCTCACTTAGCTTACTAACTTAGAAAGCTGACTAGAAGCTCCATTCAATTTTCATCTATTTCCTTATATGCTGGTGGTATAGCTAAAAATTCTTATATTTTCATTATGTTAACAAAATGTCCCAAATGAAATGTATCGTTTCGAGAGTGTGCCGCGACATCGTGAAAGGCTGTCGTCCGAATAACGAGGCGGACATCGATCGGCGCCGACACGGCACGACAGCAACGCTTCTCGCGCGACAGTCCCAGCCACAGTTACTGCTTCTACATTCTACCTCTACTCTATACTCTTCTAATATCTCCGTTGTTTACTTATAATTTTATTTTCATCGGATCACGAATGCTTAAAATTGACTTTTTTACGAAAAAAAAAAACAAATCGTATAACACAAGAGTTTGAAAATAATTTATTCATTTTTCAACTGTGTCTGTAGTAATAAGCGCAGATTGGGTAAATAATGGAATCACAAGTCTTGACTAACTATACAGTGTGTGTTGCATTATCCTAGTGTGTACAGAGCTGTGGAATGCAAGGTGTACGGGCAAGAGTTTTCTGTCCGTGTTCATAAATCGGCCGAGCCCGCCCTAATCTAATGGATATTATAATTGATTTCTGAGCTAGTAGCGTCGCGCGGCTTTCCTCATATGACTTATTTGATGTGCTTTGAATACGATGCGCTTTTCAATACCTTACGTTACGAGAAGTAGGTGCAATTGTAATGAACAAAATACATAATTCGCTGTAACTCACAAACCATTAATGTGTATGGATAAAAAACTTGCACAAACAATTCCAATATCGAAAACTCAAGGAAACCTTTATGTACTTGTTATTTGTATATGACCTAGGTTTATCTTGTTAAAACCTGTTTAGTTTGTTTAATGAATTTCATTATTGTCGAGATCTTCTATCACTAATTGGAATAGATTATAACGCCGGGCTACAGTTAGGTAATCAATTTTAGTTGTAATCTGTCTGAAACTATTCGAGTTGAGAGTGTGGTCAAGCGTCCGGCGCGAGCGATGAGCCCCGCGGGGTTGATAGATTCATTAGAGGACGCGCTGACGTCACGCGACCGGTACCGGCCAGCGGATTACCTGCATCACTTGGCAAAAAACAATATAAGTAAATAGACTTTTTCTGGACCTCTCCTCTTTTCTAGCGATTAAAATTAGACAACGCATTTGCAACCTTCGTTTGCTACCTTATAGTATAAAAAACACCGGCCATCTTTATTTACATCGCTATCTATTGCTGCGCGGTTGGTCTCTTACGAGAGATCCACCACTCCTGGCCACGTTGCAGAGCGAATGCGGGGCCGCCCAGGGCACAATGGGCCGCGAGGCGCCTATCCGTCATTGGCGTACAAACAGCGGCGATTACTCTACGTCGCAGCGCCGCGCGCGCACTCATTATGCCGGCCAATCGGCGGCCGCGCGCGCGCACCCCGCCGCGTGCTTTATAACGCGCGCACGTTCCGATATATCACACGTCAGACCTCAAAAGGCCTTTTTACGAGTACACCTCGTATTCGTCATCGTTAGGTCCGTCGGCGTCGGAGGCGGCCTCGCGCCCGACGGTAAATAATAACACGAGAAAGAGTTATTCATCGTGGCCGCCGTCACTCTGCTTCTTTTTTTAAAATCGCGTTCGACTCTTGACACGGATTTGTGGAAATTGATGCGTCCGTTTATTCTTACACTGACCTACACGCGAGAGAAGACAGCGAGGCAATTCTCGTCCTTATATCTTGTCAGTTAGACGTCGTATTCCGTCGCGGGCTCGGATGTCGATTTATTAGTGTTTATTCGACGGCTGGAATGAGATGGAATCATTCGAGGTTAATATTATTCATGGTGATACTTAACAACACGAGCTGCGTGCTGTGTAGGTATGTAGATACCTGGCGAGGCGGCGAGGCGAGGACGACTGGCGAAGAACATTAATTTGGAGGAATCGAAGGAATTATTCGTCTCTCGACGAATTATTGCACGCTTTAAAGTCTTCGGAGACATTGAATGTATCCTCTTTATCGGATATTTTTGGCATACGAATAAGAGTTTCATTTATAATGTTAACAAGAATGAATAAATAAAGCTTATGTAGGTATAATCGATCTGTTATCCAGTTATTTAAAGTCGGCGGGCGGAGTGAGTCGTCTCGTGTTCGCACGCCATAAACATTGGCCTGCGATTTACTGCGACTGCACAACTGCGGCTCACTAATAAGGAATCATCAACAAAAGCAACGACATCGGATACAATTTCGTTAATCGCGTTTTACACTTATATCTACAATAATTCGTCGTTTAATGCTGTTATTTATAAGCGAATAGATTTCCTATAGATATTTACTTTAGTAATCAAAGTTATATTTAACTAAGAACATGTTTATTATTATGTGCTCATTAAAGAAGCAGAATGAATGCTCGCATCAACAGCACGTAGCGTAGGGTCGCGGGGTGCGGGATGCGGGGTGAGAGGCGCGGGGTCCATCGCGAGCGCGCATAAATCAACACGGTGGCACAATAAAGTCCGGATTTCAATTATACATAAATCTCGCATGACGTACGCTTAATGGACTCGGGAGAGTTCTGCCCCGACTCTGCAATTACCTATTGACCATTACGATTGTTCCGATCATTTGCTTATTACAAGGATAAGAAGGCGTGCCTCTAATTACCGCGCGCCGGAGCTGGGGCTACGACTGAGAGCTGCGAGAGACGAGACGCAAAACAACAAACTTCATTCATTAATTGTAATGAAGTCGCATTTAATGCTATGCTGCCCGCCTGTCTCAATGTCATGAAGGTCGGTTCATTTTTATAAACATCCAACAGATGTCGCTAGTTACAACTTAATAAAATAAGAGCTGTGTGCGTAAATTTCAATTAAATATTTTTTTATTGCGTGTTTTTAAAAATTGTAAAAAAAAACACACAAAAAGTTTTTCTAGCAGAGCGTGGTTTCGATCCACGGACCTCTGGGTTATGGGCCCAGCACGCTTCCACTGCGCCACTCTGCTCTTATGCGAGGTAATGAAAATAACAAATTGATTGTACGCAACCCAATTGATATTCATCATATGTGTATATTTTTATGTATATATGTATATACACACAATTTATAAATAAATGTGGCCTAATAATTTTTATTGCTATAGCATAATTATGCATGCAATTTTGTCAAACAAGTACCAAACTTAAAAGCAAAAAATAAAAATTGATCGTTAATAGGAAAATGTACAAAGTTTATATAGACGTAGTTATGTACAGTAGAGTACAATATGTTTATGTACGGAGCGCATTTTGTTCCGGCGAGCAATAAAATAAAAAGGCGGGCGATATTGTAGCGAGGCGGGAGTCGGGCGGCGGGCGTCGGGCGCTGACGTCCTTATTAAGCGGGAAAATTGAAAATTGACTCAGTAAGATGATTGGCAAGGGAATATTAGCTGGATGCAATTTTACCGCCTCTGTTTGCTTTTTTAAAGAAAATTCTTACGTGACGTTAATCCATCATTTTAACGCATGAAGCGTCTGTTCTATATTGAAGATAATTTTCCTTTATTTTTTTTAATATTATATAACCGAGTACGAAATACAATCTATAACTAATTGGTTTACTTAAAAAAATTAACAAGAACAATTAAATGCCTAGTGATATCATTTTGTAAAGTCAAACATAGATGGCGCTGTAGGAAGTATTTCCAATCTCTTTAAACCCTAAGAACATAGAATTTTAATGTTGTTGGGACAAATACTATGTTAGCTTACCGATCTATCGA